GGTGGTATGGAAAGAAAGAGCACTGGTCATGGATTTGGAATTCACTAAACCTAAACTCTAATCCTAGCTTTGTAATTTATAACCAGTATGCCTTTTTTTTGTTTTTTGGGGTGGGTTTTCCCTGTGTAGTTTAGGCTGACCCTGAACTCACTATGTATCCCAGGATGGCCTCAAACTCACCGTGATCCTCCTGCCTTAGCCTCCTGAGTATGGAGATCACAAGTGTGCACCACCATACCCAGCTCCAGTATGCTTTTCTGAGTCTTTGTAAAAGGAATTTTTAAATTTTTATTTTTTATTTTTGCTGTATGGGGTTTGAACCTAACATCATTGTACTGAGCTACATCCTGAGCTGTATTTTTTGTTTGTTTTTGAGATAGTGTGTTGCTAAGTTGCTAAATTGTCCGTGGTGGGCATTTCTAATTCATTGTACTGCTATAAGGATAAAATGAGATCACAAATAGTAGTTCTAACTTGCAAAGTAATATACTTATGTATTACTACAAGTTTTAGTGGAGCCTTGCTGTTTAATATTTCAGATAAATTTTATGAGTCAAATTTTGTTTTAAAAAGTCATGTCTGACTTTGTTAGAAAGGAAGAAATGATTCAAAGTGAGGTAGTCCAAAGATGACTGCATAGGTAGTAGAAGAGATGTAAAGACAATTCTTCCATACTAAGTAGCTCAAAAGAATTGTCAGATTCCAATTACCATTGTTTCAAAAACCAATATTTTCTATTAATCAAGTAGGCAAGGGGGAAACATCCCTTTTTTTGTTTTCTCTGAAGATCTTTGCTATCCGTACCTGGCTCATAAGTCAAAAGAAAAAAAAAATTCCTGTTTTACCTGGTCCATCCAGAGGAGTTGACTAATCACAAAATATCATCCAAAAGAAATTTTCATTTGCCTATAAAGCAGGAACTTCCAGGTGTGGTAGCACACACCTGCAATCCCAGAACTCAGAAGTCTGAGATAGGAGGGTCACCATGAGTTCGAGACCAGCCTGGGCTACATAGTGAGTTCAAGGCCTGAACTATATTGTGAGACCCTGTCACAACCACCACCACACCTCCACACTGGAAAGCAGGAACAATCCTTCCCGCACTGGCTACCTGTCCTACACTCTCCTTGCTGTATCAGACATGCTACTCATTAGCAAGAACAGCCAGAATCACAAAACAGCTTTTGTTCTCAATCCCAGTGCATATTTCTCTGCTATGATCTCTACTCAAATTCCCAATACCATCCTTTTCTTTCTTCCTCAGCTTTCTTCCTTCAAAATTTACTGAAAGCCTACTCTGTGCCACTCCTTGTGCCAGGTGGTAGGGATGTAATTATGACTAACAAAACACTAATTCTTTTTCTTTGGTGTGAAAAACTATAATAGTACACAGGATCCTAATGAGACAATTAATAATGTGAAATAGGAAGTAAAGGGCTAAAGGTGTAAGGAAAGTGGGAAGGGTCGGGGAGAGGTAATAAGGGAGAGGAAAAAAATATGAGAAACTGAAAAAATGGAAATAAAGTGTTTGTAAATGGGGAGGGGAGGAGGGGGTGAAGGGAGGGCAGGGACAAGGGGAAAAATGAGAATCAAGACCTATTATGTAAAGGTACAGAATCCCAATGATGAATGTAATTGTATTGTATACCTAGATTGTACCAATAACCTCAATAAAAATTAAAACAAAACAAAACAAAACAAAAACTAATTCTTAAGTACCCCAATAAGAGTCTTCACCACATACCAGGTGCCTTACACATAGTATGTCACTTAATCCTCAAGGCACTTCTGAAGATGTACATGCTATTATCCCTATATTATATGGAAAACTCAGAAGAGTAAGAAATTACATAGGAAGATAAGATATAGCTGCTAAGAAAACAATATGGTGGTTCATCAAAAATTTAAAATAGAATTAACATATGATCCAGCTATTGTACCGCTGGATATGTACTCAAAAGAATTCAAAGCAAGGACTTGAAGAGACATTTGTACAATGGTGTTCACACAAGATTATTCACAATAGTCATAATGTAGAAGAAACTCAAGTGACAAATGACAGATGAATAACAAAATGTCATATTATATATCCATACACAATGGAATACTGAATCTTGAATAGGGAGGGCATTCTGACACACATTACATGATATGGAAGCACCCTGAGAACATTAGGCTGAGTTAAGCCAAACACAAAGGATAAAGACATAATTCTACTTACATTAAGTATCTGGGGAATGGTGGTGTAGGGAGTTACTGTTTAATGGGCACAGAGTAACAGATTTGCAAGTGCTCTGTGGATGGACAGTGGTGATGGCTGCACAACTGTATGAACAAACTTATGTCAATAAACTGTATACTTAAATACTCAAATTTACAGTATTAATTTAAATTTATACTGAATTGTATAGTTAAATCACAAATTAATAAAAAGAAAGAACAGTTACAGAGATGAGATAATATACTCAGTTTCAGGCACAATGAGTCTCAGCAAAGTATGTGACACTGGCGGAGATGTTCAGAAGACAGATGGAATAAGCTCACCTGAAGCCCAGAAGAATAGTTTGCAAGAATTGGATATATGACTCATTGGCCTCTAGATAGGAGTTGAAATTACGAAAGATGAGAAACTGGGCCCTTGGGCAACATCAATTTTTAATGGGTGAGGAGGTGAAGAAAATCTCAGGGGCTGAGATTCGGGAATACTTGGAGAAGAAGAAAGGAAAAACAAACAAAAATACAGTGGAGTCAGTAAGAGCAAGGAAACTCATTTCAAGAAGCAAGGGGGGTCAGGGATATCAATAAAAAGGTATTAAATTAGGATGAGGGCTGAAAATGGTCCACTGGATTTAACAATAAAGGAAGTTATTCATAACTATAGAAAGAATAGTTCACAAGAATTTTCTGTAGGGCTGAGGATTTAGCTCAGTGGTGTCGCCGCCTGCCTAGCAAGTGCAAGGTCCTGAGTTTGATCCCCAGTACCAAAAAGAATTTTCTGTAGGGCAGTGATGGCAAATTGCCTGCTGCGGCACACATGCCACAGGCTGGCATAACTGTTCTAGAGGCCGTTCTTCCACTCTCAGTGAGGAGTACAATTAGTGACTTGAGGGGTCTTTTTCTGAGTAGAGACAATTAGTTTGAAGATCAAAAGAGGTTTTGCTGGAACAGTTATAGGAATTAGAATCCATTTTCCAGGCTCAGCTGAGACCCTAATCACTGTAATGTCCCAGATATAGTCATCTATGCCATGGCAAGAAAAGTACTTCTTTGTAACTGAAAATATGGAGTCAGTTTGGGCTCTGCAATAATAGCGTGACCTTGAGCAAGCTGAACCGTCATTTCATCTTGAAAATAAGGGCCATCTCCTCAGAGTTGTCATAAAAAATATGAAAAAAGAAGACCACAAAAGCTTTTTGCAAGCCAGGTGTGGTAACACATGCCTATAATGCCAGCATTTGGGAGGCTGAGGCAGGACAATCACAGTGAATTCAAGGCCAGCCTGAACTACATTTTGAGACCCTGTCTCAAAAAAAAAGAACCCCCCAAAATAAACAAGGTCAACAAAAACAAAAAAAACACAACAAATAAACAAACAAAAACAAGAACAAACACAGTACAAATACCAGTTAAAACCCTGTAAGATAATCTTTCTGAAAGAGAGCACATTGAGCAAGGCTTGGGTAACTGCACAGACTTTGTTGTTTTGGTGGGGGGATATTTTTGGGTATCAGGGATTGAATTTAAGAACTTGCACTTGCAAGGCAAGTGGTGGCACCACTCAGCTAAATCCCCAGCCCCATGACCTTGTTTTTTAGCCTTACTGAGATGTCAGATTATTCTCTATATCTGCAGCTTGTCCGCTTAATTTTCATGGTCTTCTAGCTGATAAACTGTTGTGTTAAACACAGTCTGCTGATATTATTTGACTAATTTTTTTATACAAAGAAAGTACTTTTTTTTTTTTTGAGGTACTGGGGATCGAATACAAGGCCTCTACACTAAACTACATCTCCAGCTCTTTAAAAGAAAAGAATTTTTCTTTTTGGTAACGGTGATCAAACTCAGGTCCTTCCACTTTCCAGGCAGGTGGCAGAACTACCGAGCTGAATTCCTGGCCCCTTTCTTTTTTTAAATTTTGAGATAGGCTCTCACTGAGTTGCTCAGGCTGGCCACTAACTTGGAATCCTCCTACCTCAGTCTCCCAAGTAGCTGGAATTACAGGTGTGTGCCTCTACACCTAGCTATTAAGAACTACAGACAAAGAAAAAACAAACAAACAAACCAAACAAAACTGGGGCTGGGAATTTAGCTCAGTGGTTCACCTGCTTCTCAAGAGCAAGGTCCTGAGTTTGATACCCGGTACCAACAAACAAACAAACAAACTGGTGAAGAAAAAAAGAACACTTTTGAACAGATTAATACTTTAGCCTTCTAACTGTGAGAGTCGTATCTTTTGATTGTATGTGTAGAACATTTGGACATACTATTTGCTATAGGCTGAAACCAGGAAATTCATTAAGGGCCCAACACAGAACTCAGGGGGAACATTTGAATTGATATAAGCCAGTAGAGAGTGGGAAGTGGTCAGGACAGGATGTAAGAAAACAAAGATTAAACTTTGCTTACTATTTTATGGTAGAGAGAAAATGAAAACACAGGCCCAGACAGTTCCAGACCCAGCTCTAATACTTCCTGCAAAATATTTCTTACTTTTCATCTGTCCAACCATAAAATAATGAATTCATTTGAGAGTTTCAATTATTCTCACATTTCAGAGTTCTTTTCTTAATGGGTTTTGGAAAGTGCATCACAAGTCAATGGCCAGGTGTTTGTATTACTCTCAGCTATTTTATGAAGAAAGCATTCCTAACCCTTTTTCATAATATATTTTCATATAGTTATTTATATAATATATATTATATTATTTTTCATAATATATTTTCTACACTTGATCTTAGCTAAAAGGCCAAGAAGTGATTCATAATATATTTTCTTTGCAGATGATACATTAAAGCCCATTGCGATGGTTACTCTTGACTGTCAAATTGCTTGGCTTGAGAGATGCCTTAGAGAATAGTAAAGCACACTTCTGGTATGTTTGGGTAGATCGGGGGCATGACCTTGGGGTCTATATCTAGTCTCTGGCTCCTCCCTAGTATCTGCTTCCTGGAAGCCATTAATTGAGAAGCTTTCCTTTGCCATCCCATCTCCCCTGATGTTTCTGACTATGGATTGAAACCTCTGTAACTGTCACCCAAAGCAAGCTTCTCCTCCTTTAAACTATGATGTCAGATATTTTGTCCCAGCAACAGAAAGTGGAAACTTCTCTGGAAACTTCTCTGATGTTACATAGTTCTTAAGTGGTGGAATTGGGTCTGTAATTTAAGTCATCATCTTTATCTCATATTCTTCTCCCTACAGAGGCATATGCACTGCTGTGCTTTATAACAGCCATTACTGAATGTCACCTATGAGACAGTGAGGTAGAGGCTTTACAGACATTTTTATGGACTCACAAACCAACCATCTGTTTAGATCATTATCCATGTGACAGCTGAGGAAACTAAAATTCAGAAAGGTTAAATGACTTGACCAAGTGTTATAGCTAATCTGAAAGATTCATGAAGCAGTTCTCATTATCAAAATAGTGCCACTATGTCAAAACCCCTACAAAAATGGAGCCAGGAGGACATGAACTGTACGCATGAAGCCATGAGATTGTATGCATATATGCTATAGTATTTCATGTATGCCTGTTATAGAATTTACTGCAAGAAATTCTTGAGACTACAATATTCCGAATAAACCTCTTGCACAAGGACACTTGCCTAGCAACAACTGTCTCCATCAATGAATTCATACCAGTTCCTGCAACAAGTTTCTATAACCAATGTCTTTATTTCAAAACAATTTATATGAATTTCTTTTTTTTTTTTTCCTTAAAAGTTTTCCCTTTGTGCCAACCTTCCTGGTTGTGTTGATGGTTCACTATAGCATGCATATCCTGAATAACAATTCTTGCATATTTCCAAATAAACTCTTTGGAGCTCATCTCTATATATTTTTATTTCTAGTTGATATTCTAAAACCTATTGCACATAGGCACTATCACAACATCTTAAAAAGAGAGCTGGAGGTTTAGCTCAGTGGTTCCACCGCCTGGCTCACAAGCACAAGGACCTAAGTTCAATCCCCAGTACCAAAAAAAGAACAGAGAAAATAATGTTTAAATCTTAACTATATTTCATAATTCTTTCTGAAACCTTCAAAAAAAGAAAATGCCCTAATTTGTAAAGAGCTCACTGTTGTGGTGAATCTAAGTGAAGGGTACCCAAATGTCCACTATAGTTAGTGTGCACAGTGGTGCCTTGGTTTATGAATTTAATTTGTTTTACAGTTTTGGGGAAGATGGCTGCATTTGTGTCTGCGTGAAGATGGCCATCGTCATGTCTGTCACTCAGTGTGGAGTTTGTGAATGGAAACAAAATTTTGCCCATGCTTTTATTTGTGAACTGAATATTTTACAAACAGAAGCATTCATGAACTGAGAAATTCCTGTATCAATCAGCTTGGGCTGCCATAACATAGACTAGGTGGCTTAAACAACAGACATTTATTTCTCACAGTTCTAGAGACTGGAAATCTTAGATCAGGATGTCAGCAATGGTCAGATTCTACTGAGGGCTCTTCCTGGCTTACAGTGGCTACCTTCTTGCTCAGTCCTCACAGGCACAGAGAGCTATGGCATTTCTTTTTTTCTGGTAAGAAAACTAATCCCATCATTAAGGAAGGCCCCACCCACAGGACCTCATCTAAACCTATATATGCCCCATTTTCAATTACAATCCTACTGGAGATTAGGGCTTCAATATTTGAATTTTGGAGGGACACAAACATTCAGTTCATATCACAATCTATACTTAAACATTTTAAAGTATACAACATATTACATTCTCTAAATTTAGTTTTTCTAAAAGATGTACATGAAGCTAGTAATGATGCCACAGGATTGCAACAAGTACAAAAATAAATATCTATAAAATGCTGGCCTCAATTTTTGGGCATACAGTAAAAAAAAAAAAAAAAAAAAAAAAAAAGGAAAAA